AGCATCGGCCGCAAACGGCTGACAGGGTGAAAGAAGACTAAACGCCTTTGCGCAAAACAAAGTCACTTTTGTGAGTCCAAGCGCCACAGGGTGCCCGGATGCTCGATACAATCTTGACACCATGTCAGTTGGTGTTGGAGGGGGCAACATGAGCCGCTGCGGCGACGGAGTTCTTTCGGCTGACGACGATGGGGGCCGAAGATCTATCTTCCTTCTGAGAATGACTGCCCCATCCCCAGACGATTCTCTCCGCATTGCCGGTGTATCTGGTGGACTGGGCGACCGGTCCATGACCGTGGCACTGAGGTTCGATCGCCCAGGACGGGCATAGTTGACCGAAGTGCGCTTTTTGCTCGCTTGCGTCGGAGCCGGACTGGGTGTATCCGCACGGGATATGCGAGGGTTGAACTCGTCGACTGCGGGTGAGTTGGTATATGTAGCGTACTCGTCGAACACCAGCGGTGACTTGAGTACTTGCAAAATCTCTTCGGCGCCAGGACGGTTGTCGGGGTCGAGGGCAAGAAGCCGTTTGAGTGATCTGTACAACTTCTCGGGCAAGTCGGAGCGCACGCGCTGCTCGTCGTCTATGCCGGTCCATGTCGAGATCTCGGCTCTCAGCTCATCAAGATCTTCGCTGTCCTCGTCGATACCATCGGCGTTCCGATACGGCAGTCTTCCAAAGCACATGAAATAAACAATCATGCCAAGAGAGAAGATGTCTGATTTGGTGGTAAAGTTGCCGAATGCACCCCCTGGTTGCTCTTGACGGAGCACTTCAGGCGCACAGTATGAAATGGTTCCAGTAGCACCCGTCGAGTTTCTCGTTGTGTTCATCGACTGTACTTCGCCAAAATCACTGACCAGGACCCGTACTTTACGCCCCGTCTGGTGGAGTAGGCAGTTACTTGGTTTCAGGTCTCGATGAATATAGCCATTTGCATGAAGGTGGCTTAGGCCGGATGTAATGTCCTTGAAAAAAGAAATAATCTCTTCAAAAGGCATCTTACGCGGCCCATGCAGGTTCTCTGGTTCTTCCAGCTGGCCTTTTGATCTCCTCCGGAGCCTTTCCTTCATCTGTTCCTTTGTGACTGATTTTTTTGCCGAGTCGAGAATGTAGCTGTGGAGGTCTCCGCCATTACAGTACTGCTGCAGGATGAAGGCGCATGGCACGCTCGGTCCAAAGCTCGAAATCTGATAGTCTTCGAGCCACACATGACGGTATGATACCAAGTTTTGGTGCGATAGGGTTTGCAGGAGCTGAACTTCGACTAACACCTTCTCTAGCCACTCGTGGTCGTCACCCACTGGCACGCGCTTGCACGCAAACTTGCCAAGTTTGACCCCGTCGAGCTGGTGCTGCACCAACAGGACGACGCCTTTTCCCCCTCGACCCAACTCGCGCTCCTCTATGAAGAAATCCTTGAAATAATTCGGACTAAAAGCCCGCGCTGATATACCCTGGCTCCTTTGCGGCTGAGCCGGTGTGCTTGCTATAAACTCGGACCTTGGAGGTGCACCAAAGCCAGTCATGCGCGAAGGCGCAGGAGCTAGTTGTTTATGCGGTGACGGGGGTCGCGACGTCTCAGCAGATGTGGGCTGACTGCGGCGGAGCATCTGGAAGTATGCCGGGTTGACGAAGCCATTGTCCGTGGAAGTGCCTGGCGCATTGTGCTCATGCTCGTCGCTGTCGTCGCTGCCGTGTGGCGAGGGTGGGCGGTAGGCTCGGTGACAAAAAGGACATGCTGTGGAGTCAATGTTGGTTGCGTGCGAAGCGTCACGCAGAGAGAGCTGCCTCGAGTTTTGGTCGTATACGACGACTGCAGATCCGTGACGCCTGAAGACAGTGTCAGTGTCGGCTTATTGATTGTGGTGATATACGATGCGTCGATTGATGTAGGGGGATGGCAATGACCTACAGGACAATTTCCCGCGACTCGGCCGGACCATAGGGTATGAGGGACATGATTTGCTTGACCAGACAGCGCAGCCAGGCGCGCAGTGGTGTAGACAGGCAGTGAAGGCACGTCTGACTGAGGCTACGTCAACAGAAGGCCGACGTAATCGCCCTGACCGGAAAAACGCTGATATGTGTCGTCGCACCACTTTATTGCGACTATGCGGGGAAGCTACTACTGCTATCTATACGACAGCTATGGAAGCTCCAGAGCGTCAGTCAAGGCAGTACCAGTGCGGGATGCGAACGACTTCGCGAGCGGCTTCTAGGCTGAACATGACCGGTTGATACCAATAGCGCTGATTGTTGTCATGACATGGTGTGTTGTTGTTTGGACAGCTTCCGTGTTTTGGTGGGGGTCAAAAGTGTGGAACGGGTGGGCAAGGGACCTCCCAGCCAGATACCCAGAGCCTCCAGGGTTATCTCAGCCTAGGGTCCGCTGTCTCTACACCGCTTACCAACATCACAACCCTGGCGCCGCCCGGCAATGGCTTGTTGTTCTTTGTTATTCTTGAATATTCTGTGGTTCATTGGTACAGCTAGCTGGACAAGCATCTGTCATCCCTCGGTCGACTTTCTACCTAGCGCTCCAGACATTACTTAACCCGCTTACAGGTGGCTCTTGAGCAGCATGCCGCCCTCCCACACCTCGCCCTTCTCCAGCTTTTGCCAGCCATCCACCGCACCAACCTCCACACACACCATGTTCTTGTAGCCGTCATCGGGCGAGAAGTCGCCCATGGCCTTTGCCTTCTCAATCCACGGGTTCCATGTGACCGTATCCTTGACGTTGTCGCGAATGACGTCGAAGCGGGGCTTGCCGTCTTCGACAATCGACGTCGTGTCCTGCTTGATGTCCTTGTAGACGCGGTCGACCTCGCCGGTAATCTTGAGCTGGTTATCGCTCTGCGTGTGTATCGACGCGTTGAGGACCTTGTCAATGTACTCTGTGCCGGCAAGGCCAGTAATCACAACCTTGGAAATGTCTTGAATCTTGAAGTAGGTGTGCAGCAGGAATTGGAACTCGAAGCTCTCCTCGCCCTCGTTGCGCACAGTGAGCACAGCTTGTAGGCTGTCCTTGCTCAATGTGACGCTGTATACAAGGCCAAAGTCGAGGGGCCATGCCTTGCGCGACTCTTCGCTGAGTGCCTGGCGATCAAGGCCAAAGTCGAGCTTGACAGAGTTGGAGTCGAGAGCATCTTCGGCTGTGGACTTGCCCATGAACTCCCATCGCGATCCACGAGCGAAGCCGTGCTGGGGAAGCGTGGACGTGGGGTGGCCTTCCTTGGGTGGTGGGCCGAAGACCTGACGACAGTTGTTAGCCACTCTCACCCGTCACCACCAAACTCAGCTCTGCATATGCCTACCGGGAACACGACGGGGATTCCACCCCTAACTGGCTTCTTGCCCGTCAAGTCGGCAGCTTCGCTCAGCCACAGATTCTCAGTTTGGCCGCCATTGCTCTTCCAGCTGGTGACTGTGGCTCCATAGAGCAGCACCTCAACACTCTCTCCAGACGGCAGTCTTGCAACCACCTTTTGGCTGCCGGCTTCTCCCACAATGTCGACCTGGGGACTAGGACCAGTAGCAGCGGGCGCATTCAGCGCAGAAGGGCGGTTCGCACGTTCAACCATGGCGACGATGAGACGGTTTTGTTGTTGACGTAGCTCGAGGAGATGCTAGTAGGAGGGCTAACTATGATTATGCTCGACACAGCTTATTTGTCGCGGTGGGGAGTTGATGGATTGCTGGATGAGAACGGCTGATTAGACGGGCTCGAGGCCAAATAAATAAACCAGGGCAACGTTAACTTACATGCACTAGACAAGAGCGGTTCCGACTTCGTAGAAAGAGAGTTGGTCTGCGGTGAGGGTGAGGGGCAATGAGCGGTGCCCCACCATGCTCTCTGTGCCAGCAACACCAAGCTTCGACTGAAACGCAGCCCACGTTTCAGCCCAACTCGCCTGCACTCGCTTGCCTTGCTTCCCCAGACTCGTCCGCCCACCTTACTGGTCGGCCTGCTGATCCAGCAATGGCGACCAGTCTTGCCTGCATATCTGGTGAACCGGTGGCTGCGGGGCGGGCCTGCAGAGGGCCGGTCTAGTAAAGGCCCGCCGAGGTATCCATATCATCGGCCCTAGTCCTGGTGATCAGTGGATAGGATACTAACTACTCCTTGAGTGAGCTGGTCGAGTTGTACACCCAATGTCTTCAGCTCTGGTCAAAGAATAATAATACCGAAAATGGCCTCATCCTCTGCCGATGGACAGCCCCGAGCTTTAGGCATCAGACTCTACTGGCGCATCACGAGTTACAAACATATTTTCCTTCCACCCCTTGGCTTATGCTATGCTCAGGTAATCGCGATCTCATCCCTCTATCTCTGATCTGGACATGGGTGTTTTCTTACTGCACAGATAGTGTTTTTATGGGTACATGAAATTCTCCCATGAACTAGACAAAACCAACAAGCGCCGCAGCAGTCAAGAATGGCATGGTTAAGTCGGAATCATCGGAACGATAGAGCTGGCATTGTTTAGTTGCTTGCTCACATATTCGTAAGCCTGGCTTTCTCTAATATCTTTTTATCAAGATGGCTACAGCAGTACTGTAACTGCAACATCATCCCACACCAAGCTCGACAATGACAAGGTTGGCTGAGAAAATGCACCCTATGAGCAATATGAGAGAACGAAAATCACCATGTTGGACACTGAAACTTTGGAAGCGCTTTGTCAACTTTGGGCATGTGTAATCATCGTGTCAGTTGTCATGCGAATACAACAAACGTTTGCTTGAAAGCATACAGGGCAATGTTAAATTATGATTCTGTCAATCTGACCTACTGCAAGAACAACAGCCTAAGCAGAATGACTGTAGGCCTTTTATCGGCAGCGTTGCAAAAGACCACCCATGTCCACCTTGAACAAAAACATTACCCCAAACCATACAAAGCCAAAGCCGACACCAAAAATCCATAGTAACCTACCATACCTTATCCTTTCGACTTTTGGAAATCTACAATCACTGCACCACTCTACTCCCACTATACCCATTCCAACACAACCCCCACACTCCATGACAATAATAACAACAATATCAAATCAGCCCCCCCCCCTCCCGCATATACCCACATGACACACCACACCCCAGCACCCCCAACAAACACGCCCATCCAACCATCGTTAGGGAAACACACACACCAACCGACCCAATCACCACAGCAACTAAAGATCGCCAGCAAGGAAGACGTCGCAGAGATCCAGCGAATCAGTGTTGGTACACCTTGCGATATGTCACTAGAGTTATTAGTTTTCCTTTGTTCCATCTTACAAATCACAAACTCATCACATTGACCCTTATATATTTATAGATTAGTCGTAGTATAACTATATATCTTACATTCATCCATAATAATAATCTTGGTTCGAGACTATTTTTTTTTAAACTGAGATCTCCTAAGAGTAAAGAAAAAAAATCTATCAAATAAGTACACACACACACGTGTTCTATTCACTCTACACGCTTTTTCTTTCTTCCAAATTACACCGCAGGACCCTCAAGTTCCTACATGAATATTCTCCGCACCCGCCCCTCCGCCCAATCCAGTAATCCCTTCTCGAACACCGGGTATTTCTCCCGTGTTAATTTTTTCCGAACCAATGGCAAAGAAAAATTCTGAACGATTTGGTTGGAGATTGTACTACGCATGTACCGGGTTTTTTTTGGTAATACTTAATTGGTAGATAAGTCTTGGTGTGGGAGATGCGATATGGGGTTTGAAAGGAAGAGGGTACATCGCACGTGAGTAGTTATTACTCTTCGGGGGATAAGTAGTGCAGAGTGGTGATTTGGTTCTGGGTTTAGCAGGTAGAAGATGGATGTTGAATGTCTTTGTTCGTTCGTATTGTTGATCCGGTGGGAGCTGGGGTGGAAGAGGAGAAGGTGAGTTTGGCAGGTGCGCTTGATTAGGATTGGAGATGGCGATGGTAATAGTAGTGTTTGGAGTGGCTATTGGAATGCAAGAAGGAATGGGATGAGGAGGGAGGAAGATGAGTTGGATGTCTGGACTGGATGTGATCATTACTCGCTGATCACATCCAGTCCAGACAAATCACGGTCTTGCGTGTCTATCATTTTCATCATCCAAACAATCCAAAGTAAACTTTCTATCCACCCCCTTATTGTTTCCATATCTAGGACGTATGCAATGCTCTTTCGGCACTACTGAATTGCAGACATCTTTACTCGCCGCGGGACTTGCGCTTTTCACAAGACGTCTCGTACCGTTTGAAGTCAGCTGGACATTCTGATAAATCATGAACAAAAGAGGAAGTGGATATAACTAGTCTCTAGCTCTTGTCGCCCACTTCGCCTTAGAACTGTTCGCGCTCACGGCAATTCAATGGACTCAGGGGATACTACCAGCAAACCTCCACTTTCAGATTGAGCTAGCAAGAGGGGGCTGGTATCATTGACTATTCTGACAGCGACCAACGACTTGACGCTTCGTCAATCGTATCCACAGATTCAGAGTCATTCCTCAAGCACGACCGATTCAAGAGACGCCTCATTGTGGAGTTGGCGCGTTTGCATTTCCAAAATACCTTTACTCGAAGAAAAACAAACCATTGATGTTACATCCATGCCCCGCGGGGATCGTCGTGTCCAGTAGATGAGATCAGATCAGATGAGATCCGATACGATGCCACGTGCTCCACTCACCAATACTCTGGGTATTTAATCACCCTGACGATCGCTGCAGTCTCCCCAAATCAATAGTTTTGCTTGCGCAAAGAACTCGTTCTTGTAGCAATACCACATCTTACAAAGCACCCGAGTCATCTCCATAGATACTCCGTCGCGGGTCGCGGCTCAGCAGCCCTGCCGGCGATCCTCCCAGGCCCACACCTCGGCCAGATCCTTCCAAATGAAGTAGATCCTTTAAGAGCAAAATGTCAAATGTCAGTCCTAATGCTAAAGACGATCCCGCAAGCGATCCACACATGACGAGGTGTCCCTCCGGGAGCGATCCGAGTTTCTCAGGGTGCCGCGGAGTGGCGCTGTGGAAGTGGCGCCGCCGTGGGAAGACGGTGTTGTGGACGAGGCGTCCGATTACGTACATACTGTATACTCGCTACGCAACGCGACCCACGTACCAGGACATCTGGCCACACGCAACGATGCGACAGCTGTTGGATGTAGCGCCATTACCTTACATAAGTACGTAGGGTCTTGATCCGCGGAAACGGGACTGTCATGTCAGTGCTGTAGGTTACTGGTGGGGTTCGTTGGGTAGCATTCGCGATATGTAAGTAAGGCGGGCCAAGAGGTGTCGAGTGGAGAAGAGAAGGATTGCGGCTGAGGCATTTCCGGGTTTATGCAAAGAAAAAGGCTCCACAGTGGATTCGAATGCGTTTGGTGAGTCGAGTTTCTATGGTGTTTCTAGACAGACTTATGCATAGACACGCATGTTTTTCCTTTCATGTGAAAGAATTACATGTATGCTTCCCGCTTGAACTTTATTCTGTCCCTCTCCCGCGTGGAATGTATATTTTAAGACAGATTAAGGGTCATCTAGTATGAAATTCTTTCGTGTTCCGACGTTGGAGGAGAGGCCGGGTGGCGTTCTGACTCTTGGTGTATCCCAAACACACTTCATGTTGCGCTAGCCAAAACTATGCATCGCGATGCGAAACTCGGTGCGTTAGCATGACGTTGCACGTCGCGTTTGCATGCAATGGCATCCTTGCAAGTGGGTGGCCTAATTATATGTCTGCGAGATCTAGCCGGCGGCTGGATGTTAATATAGAGTCTTGTCATTCGCTGTCGCACGCTTGGACGTCATCTTGCAACCTGGACAGGCGGCTCTCCAGATTAAGGGGATGATGATGCGGTTGGGGTAGCAGACGCCATAGAAAGTAGGCTGGATAAATCTTCGGGCCGGTTGGTGGGGAAGAAAGTCTAGTTCGCTTCTAGCTTGGCACGATGAGCCGAAGGATCGTCGAGAAATTGCGTGCCAGCCGAGACGAGAAACTCGTACGAAACCAGGTGCTAGTAACCCGAGCGACATCCATTCCACAGGTCGAATGATGGATTGGCTACGCCGGTAATTGCTACCAATGCAGGCTGCCGGCAGGGATCCCGGGTGCGCATTTCTATCCCGAACGGGTTATTATTACCACAGAGTTTTGCACGTCGGAAACAACCCCAAAAGCGTGCAAACCCCAGGCACCGCTAGGTAATGCAAACACGATCGACATGTAGACTGACAACAAGCGGCTATTTCCAGCCAGGATGAATGGGCAATGTAATCGCTCTATTAATGATAAGCCGTGAGGTCTCGTTAAAATACTATATGGTATCACTGTTTTCGAAAAAGAAAATAAAATGAAAAAAATATTCAGAATCATCGCGTAGATAGAGGCGCTGCTTCGACAAGCATCTCACTAGTGCTCGCTGTTTCTGCGTCCTTTGCTGATGAAGAATCGTCCCAGTGGGGATTGGCGGTTTGTGTCTTCCATCCGCTCAGCTGTACACCCTCGGAACCTTCTACTCGTACGTGTATATCGGTGACAACCTGAATGTCGCGTGTTTCATCGTTGGATTCCCGCGACCGCTTCGTGCCATCCAGAACGTATTCATTCTTTGAGCGTAGTATTTTGCTGCCTCCCTTGCTTCCATAGGCTGCCGGGTAGTTGGGTCGCGAGTATTGGCTGCGGTGTCGGGAGGGGAACGCTCTGGGAAAGTACTTCGCAAGTAGGGGCCTCAGCAGTGGCAGGCAGGCGCAAATAATTCCAACATTGGTTTCTACCGAACTCCAGGTCGCCGCGGGTGGATTGTCGTAGGTTTGATCTGAAGAGTTCGAAATCGCAACAAGAGACTGCAAGCGTAGAATCGATACAATGCACACACTACAAAATCTTGCGTTAGTATAAAAAACAAACGTGACACTAGGTTCAAGGGCATGTGACATGCACGGGTACCAGCAGGCACACGCGAGTACGAAAAAAGGCAAAAGAAAACCACTTACAATCCACCAACTGCAAAGATGGAAATGAGACCAATCTTTTGTCTCTTTCCCAGGTTGAGACCGCGAATGACGGGAATTGGCAAAAGAATGATTGCGAAGTCGGTCAGGATATTGATAGCGGCATTGGTGAACCACATGGCGAATTGGTTGATACACGAAGCCTTTTCCTTAGTCCAGAATGCCCTAACAGGTATGCAGGCAAAGATACTAGAGAAGACTGTCCAGATGGTGTAGCAGATGACGACGGCCATGGTGATCCAGTTTGCTATTTGAAAGGCCTTTGTTGGGAAAATTCGCCGGTATTGAAGCAACATGGATCCTTTGGTCAATCCAAGAGAGAGGTAGTAAACCATTAAACTGCACCAAAAGGCCTGTGATGGCTGATTAGCAAGTGCTGAGGAGACGGGAAATCAAAAGTCCTACCCTCAAAAAGATTCCCATATCATGTTGTGGAACATCGCGAAAGTGCTTTCCCATTCCATACTCTGCTTCTGTTGAGGGTCAGTCTTGATACACGATAAAAGTCACGATGCCTACGTACGGATACCGATGCAGATGGTAAGCCCTATTGAGCAGAGCTAGCAATGGGTCAGCAGATGTACCTAGCGGTTGAGATATCAATCCATCAACTTACCATGGCCAGGGCAATGCCCAGGTCTTCGACTCCTGCACATCGAAGAATGTAGAGCCGGGTATATAGTCGGAGGATGACGATGATGAGAGCGAGACCAGTGAAGACGGAGGAGATGATTACGGCCTCACGACCTCGTGAGTTTTCAGATAATGATCCAGCCATGGTGTGATGGTACAAGCCACGAGGCGTCCGGAGAATCGAGTTGTTAATAAGCCCTGTGGGGAAGGCATGAGTATTTTACCCTCGAGTCCCTGAGGCAAGGGTAGCGTGAGAGCATGGTTAAAGGACGTTCCATGAGCGTCCTTAAGCACGTTCCCCGCTTTCCAGGTACCCGCTTGACGGGAACCTTTGCCAATAGTTCCGTGATCCCAACGGATCGCAGGCCTGCCTGAAAAGTTTCCGCGGATCCATGACTCGAAACATGGCAACAACGAGATACTGTGAGACAGTCACAGAAGTTGATCCTAGCACGCCTTGTGTTACATGCCGGGAGCTGCCGGGATCTACAGCAGAATGAAACACCGTGAGCGTCGTGCCTTGGGGGTGGGAATGCTTGTGCACAGTAACTGCACACACACAGTCTCATCCCACCTCACTGCTGTTGCAGTTGCGAGTAAATTGCTTTTTTTCCAACGGGCTACGAGTATGGTATGCCCTTGAA